GTTGTTGCTGTAGTATCGCAAGGGCATCCGTATGCTCTCTTCGACCGACTTGTACGCCGCAAAATGGATAACGCCGGATATCCTGGACAGTCGCTCAACAGCGGGTTCTTGCGCGTCATCCATATCCATGTCGATACCGGAGTCTGTTCTCTGCAAAGTCGAGTATGGGAATCTTGCTGGAGCAGGCGCTGGCTTGCTGATGATCGAATACGATGAATAGCTGGCCAGTACAGTCTTCATGTGCGCGCTCCTGTAATCCAGCTGACGGAAGTGCAATGCTGGCATTCGTCGCCCGTGCGCCGTGCAGAAGTCAATCGCAAGACCTCGCACCCTGTTCAGGACGGTTTCGTATGAGTTACTCAAGTCGTCGATGACCAGCACGTTGTAGCCTTCTTTGAGTAACTCCAATACTGTGTGCGAGCCGATGTATCCCAGCCCACCGACGACCATGATGAAGGTCGAGGTGGATCCATCGATGTTCAGAGGATCCGCTACTACATCGTCGTCGAATAGCACCGATCGCTGTGTTCCCGGTGTATTGAGTACTTCCGGTGTGATGGAGGGCGATAGCGAGTACGTCGAAGAGGATGACGACATCTTGCACAATTATGCGTGGCGAATGAACGAATGTATGGAGAAGAGCGAGCGCGTTGATTGTTACGGCGCTACCTTTCTCGATACGTCCGAAATTCTTTATACGCGCCACAACTCTCAACAACAGCCTCAAATCGCGATCAATTAGGCAGAAGACATCGAAGTCAGACTTTTCCTGCGCCGTCAATATTGTTTACATTGCTTGGCATAATGCGGCCTCTTCATCCCGACTCATCAGTTTCGGAGTCTCCTCAGGTCTAGCACTCTCAAAATATACTCTCGCATCGCTAACGATCCCTGTCCAATCTGCATAGCCAAGTGCGCAATACGTACCCGTGTGGTTGCATTGCCACGTCCTCTAATTTCTCAAAATACCATCATCTGGGCCGTCAGAGATTCAACGTGGGCATACTGCGAGGCTTCGTTCGACTACTCGATCTCCCGGCATCTGTCAGCGTCTTGGTGCCCGAACACACCATAAGGATATCCATTACACATTTGCGTTCGTCAGTATCCGTAAGCTGTGTTTCTCCAGATCTTACTCTCTATCGGCTCATCTCCGTTTGGGCCAGCGTCTCGTCATCGGCTCCTAGCCTACCGCGCTCAAAGCAGAGTCATGGACGGACTCAGCTCCGTAATTGTTCCGCTCTACGTCTACCCCTCAGCAGGCGCGTGGGATCCGTTTCACGATGTGTACGATACGGTACCTCTACTATTGTCGCTACTCATTATACCGGGACTAACGCCATGTACTGCTTTCAGGGCATCATCATTCCCCCGCATACACTTTACGGTCGTGGTAAACGTGCATAACGGGCCTGGAGAGGGTGCACTACCAAACGCAGAATACACCGCAGCCATCGAGGCCCTCAACTCGCTCAGTAATGTACGCACTATCGGCTATGTGGCAACCACGTGGTGTACCAGGGACTTGAGTTCTGTGCTGGATGACATTGCTGCGTTTTCATTCTGGGGCGAATATGATTCCTCACTGGCTCTGAGTGGTGTCTTCGTTGATGAGACGCCTACCCAATACTCTACAGACTATGCCGTGTATCTCGATAGCATCGCTCAAGCTGTTCAAGACAGCACCGGACTAAAGGACAACTACATTGGTAAGCTCAGCCCGCCTTCTTCTGTATTGAAAGTAAGACCGTCACCGAAGCCGGCTTTTGAGGCCCCTGTCGTGTTGCTGTACACTTTACCATGCGTCCTCAAATGGGTCTGTTTCTATTGCAGGCGAGAAGAACCCCCATTATTCAACTCCGGCAGTTACATGAGCGTAAGGCTGACACTGCACTATAGTTCACAACCCTGGCGCTCTTCCAGAGCCTCGTTACTTTGATGAGGCATTGTTCACTGGGCCGGACTTGACCGTTGTTTTCGAGAACTCATTTTCCAATTGGACGACTGAAAGTGGCGAGCTCTTCAAGGCGACGGGTTCATATGATCGCGAAAAGCTTGCGCTGCTTGTGCACTCCACACCGGATCTGTCGATTCTTGAGACCGCTAGTACGCTATTGCAATTACTAGCCGTAGGCCGCGGCATCTGGTTAACAGGTAGCTCGAACTATACCGAGCTCGACGGTGTGCTACCTGCGTTTATCGAAGGCTTGGATGCGCTGTTGAGTTGAGGGTCACAGCCTTGGAACTGAATGATGTAGATATCAGGTCATCGATCGCTTAATCCACGCAAGACACCCACGTCTTCGACAGTTGTCCTTTCTGTGTCAGTCTCAACTACTTCATCGGCTACGACCACTTATGCGGCAAGCCTTAATCACTTGACTACACTGTCTAGAGACCTGGGGCTGAGTGATCCTGATCTTCGGATTGAAGCTGGCATGCAGAAGGAAAGGATCTCCTGGTCACGACTGCTTCGTACTACCGTGGCTTTCTCAACAGCGAGCCGGCTAATGCGCCGTGACGAGGCGTGACGAGGCGTGTCAAGAGCGGTCCGCGATGTAAGAAGTCCTTCCGTGACACAAGCGGTCCGCCACTCCGTCGGTTGAATCCGAGGAAAGCTTACGAGGAATTATCCCAGCTACACAATGCCGTCTTCAAACAAGCAACGATCATCGAAAAACCCGCCTTCAAATTTTCGACTACCAAGTTTTCATCTGGTTGGCTCTAATATTACCCCGAGAGCTACCCTGTTTGCCGCTTTAGGCGGCAGATCTAGCTCACTCAACCCCTGTCCATTTCCCCGGATCAAACAAACAAGCCTTTCGTCCTGCACTAGAGCTGCATACACACTTTATTTCAACCTTGGTCTTCATTTCGAAATTCAATCTCTGCTGCGTACCGCGTCGGCCCATGTCTATTTCTGCATCTTCCCAAGCGATGCTCCAGGCTTCGATATTGACACTTTCCTTGATGTATGTCATCCTTGGATGAGCACCGGAGTTACTTCGCGACAGGATGGATACCAAGTACCGGCGGCTCTGCAAAGACATGCAGTGAGCGTGCTCCCTAGACAGGTGCAGAAGGCCGAAGTCGTGCCGCCATGAAAGCTACCTCGCGGACTGTCGCGCTTCTCCGCATCATCTTTCTATCCTTCGCTTACAGCATACTGTGCAGATTTCTCGTTCTACGTGAACTTCTCTAGCTGCATTCGAAGGATGCGTCCGTTGCGCTTCCGATCGGTTGGGTCTGGAAGCGAGATGCCAACTCTCGGATCACACCACAAACAACACGAGGTTAACGGAACGAAGGATACCTCATCCAAAATAGCTCTTACACGTATGGCTATTTACAGCCATTCGTCCTGCCAGTTCGCTAGGCCTTCACAGGTAGAGAACAAAACACGATGAGACGACGCCATTGCGCGTGATCTGCCTCGCTAAATGACGACATCGATATGTGGGACTCACCTACCTATATTGACAAGAGGTCTCGTAAACCACGCATACTGGCTTGTAGGGATGTACAAAATATACATCCAGTAGACAGCGTAGCGGAGTCTATTCGCCTCGTGCTAATGTTTCAGTTACACAGAGTGGATCCCAATATATGCGGCAGGACCCGACTACCGAATACGGAAAGTCTGTTGGCGTGATCGCAACCACACGAACGACTTTCGATACTCTCAGAGGCTCGTATCGCACGCCGATACGGTGGATGTACCGCCCATGGTGGCTTGCATCAAAGGAAGGATCCGTGTGACGTGTGTTCCGGTTCGCTGGTACGAACAGGTCTGCAACAGACCCGAATAACCTCAATGTCGACCCGCGTAACGCATCGAGATCCATGGTCAATCTAAGTACTTCGTATTGTATGCGACACGTACGTTCGTCCCGGCCATACCGCGCATCTGGCCCCAAGCGGCGGTCCTCTCGCAGTCTGGGGACCTACACACCTGCCACTAACGTCGTGGTTCAGATCTAGAAACAAATGCATCATCTTGTATCGGGACCGGTGCACCAGATCGCGCTCTAGAACTAGATGAACACGCCACTCTGCCTCGACATCTCAACCCCACCCGGCAACTTGCTCGAATAAGCCAGCTTACCCGCTCGACCAGAAGTCTTACTATACCGACCGCAGGCGAAAAATTAGAGGGCTTCAATATGCCGAGCATACTTACCGCAAACGACATACCCGCCTCAGATTTTCCACCTCACCTGCATCGGATATTGAATCGCATTCAACCGGCCGGTAGCTACACCTTGGCAAAATCGACCCGTACCGAGATTGAATGCATACTACGCATACTCTCTGCTTGATGCATCAAACAAGCAAAATGCTGGTAACGCCATATTCCACCAGTGAGCTGGTCAGCCTCAAACACACGCCACCGATGTCAGATTCCCGGCCGTAGCACACCATCACTTCGGTAGGAAGAGCCGGTGTAAGCAGGGGTTCTCCAGCTTTCACGACGGCTAAAGCCAAGTTGCATAGCCCGAGGCTGTGTGTGCTGTGTGTGCTGTGTGATATACGGCTAGCAGAAGGGAAGGGTATGGGAGCTGGGGTAGCGGAGATGTGGAAGAATGGAGTTGGGCGTGAGAGTTTTGCTTGCCGGGAATACTGGGAGGCATACCGCTTGGAAGTCTGACTGACCCGTTTGCTGCTGGTACAGTGTTTCATCACGATCTGAAGATGTTGCTGCAGAGAGAACGCCTTGTCAGCAGACAGCATGAGGCAGGTCACGGGGATTGGCCTCCATCGTTGACCTCGCAGGTATAGGAACTACCACATCATGTGATCAGAGCAGGCTGTACTCAGCATAGGTGACTACGATAACCCGGTTGTGTCGCAAAGTTTGATACAGCTAAGCATGCTGGTTTAGCGACGAAACCATGCGCATTCGAGCTTAAACACAACATTAGGTGTCAGAAGTAATGGGCAGATTTCGATGAACAAAGACATTATCATGAGCTATACCACTACATGCCCTCTCTCCTTCTCTACCCACGACCCCCCACCCCCTCATCTACATCCGTAACCTCAACTCTTCTATCACAAAACTCCACCCACCCATCCAACTCCATCTTCTTCAGCACCGTACTAAACCCCTCGCTCCCCTCCCCCTTCCCCTCTCTATCACAATACCTCCCCACAACATCTTCCTCCAACCCTTGTTCCGCCCCCGCCCCATCTGGATACTCGATATGAAACACAGGTTTCCCCGCTGCAATGAAAGGGGCGAAGGTGCTGCACTCACCGTACTTTGCGCATTGCTCGTTAACGCTGAAGTGGACAATGGGGAGGACGGCGGGGATAATGTCGCCGGCGTTTTTGAGGCCGAGAGTGAGGTTTAGGGGATTGGTGAGGGAGGAGAGGTATTGGAGGTAGGAGATTGAGGAGGAGGGGGTGAGGGAGAGGCCGTTGTTGTTTTGCTGGTGGGGTTGTTAGTATATATTCGACTACACGGTGGGGAAAGGCATGGAGGTGGGTATTTACTTACGTATCCATCAACGTTATCAGGATCAACACCATCACACCCTTTCTCCTTCGCCAGATCTACCCTGTTTTTCATCACCCTCCTCACATTCTCACTGTTCAGATCCAACCATTTCTCACCCGGCCACCCATCTAGATCACGCCCAAGATCTTCCTTTTTGAACTCCGACGCGTCAGGCCGCCAGTCTTCGTAGCTGCCTGCGCTGAAATAGCATATCACTTTCTTGCCCATGGAGTGTAGTTGTCGTATCGTCTCGGTGGGCGTGTCGAAGAGATCGATGTCGAAGATGCTCACGTTGGGCGTTGTGCTAGTGTCTGAGGAGGAGAGAACGGGCGGATGGGACAGGATGATTTGCCAGGTATCGGATACGGATGGTGTCCATGGGAGTGTGGTGTTTGGTGTGGGGAGGGGTGTTAGGGTGGAGGTTGGTGGTGAGGTGTTGTCGTTGTCGTCGTCGTTATCGCGTCCTAATGTGAGGCCTAGACCTAGACCGAGGCCTAAGGCGAGGATTAGAATGACGATGCCGACGGCGATGAGGATCTTGCGCCGTAGAGACCATGGCTGTCGTGCTTTGGGTTTCGTGTACATCATGCCTTTGAGCGACGGGTTGCTAGGCACAGAAGATCAGATATGCCGTCTCTCTAGAACTTCCTTCCACCGACGCAGAGTTTCCGATCACACTCTGGGCACGATGCTTTCAATCATAGAAGACCTGGTTATAATAGCTCTACCAAGTTCACGACTCTTACGCGCCGATAACCCATACCCGACTCTCCGCAAACGCTTCGAAAAAAATCGATAGCCTGGGAATATCACGAGAAGACGCGTCGCAAGCGGCGCAGTGACGTGCGCCACCCTTGCATATGTAGGCAATATACAATTGTTGTATGTAAGACATATAGTAACTGCAATTGGTGTAGCGCTCATGCAGTCATATTGCGGGTGAGGCGTGCCGAAGGAATTCGCTCCCGGTTGGAAAGGTTGGCAGCTGAACACACTGTCGATCGATGGGGGTGAGACCATTAGTTTAGCTGTTAGGAAAAGGCCACAGTATAACGGCAGGACTGGATCGCTTTCGAGAGACGATGTGACTACGTGTCGGGTGTGGTAATACTGCAAAACGCAGGTAGCGAAATGCGGCGCAGCTGTCCCGCCAGGTTGGTTCTGATGTTCACCCATATTGATGTTGTGGCTGTGCGAATGTGGGGTTAGCTCAGGGGTCAGAGATGACCGCCTAAACTCCGCAGCTGTTCACTGGTCATGCTGGATGCAGGGAAAAACACACGAAGACAATATCGAATGAGCTTCAGCTAAAAGATATACATTGAAGACGACAATTGCGATAATGACCGACGCCATGCTCTTCCAAAGGATGCTTGTGTTTACAGCGGAATGGCCTTTGAGAACTTGTACTGCCTGCTTGCGCCGCTCATAGTCACCCATAGTGTAAGCGGATCGCTTCCCAGTTGCTCTTTCGTCGCGCCGGTCGTGCTTGCCACAGCACCTGGTACGGTGATGGGTATGGTGGTACCACATTTGTTTCCGCCGGCCGTGTAGACGTTGACAGACTCAATGTTGGCGCCGTTGGCGGATGTAGTCCAGGTCAAGCTGGGTCGGCATAGGTCGCGAGTTTGGCGGTTGATGAACTGCTGTGCGAGGTCGTCGTGCTTGAGGGTCTTGAAAGGCCAGGTTGTACTGCAGTATGTTAGTAGGATGCTCCCCCGGAGAAGCAAGGGTACATACAGGCGCATCATTTCAGCGGAGATGACCTCAATCCACGTCATGAGTAGCGAGTATTGACCACTATTACCGTTCACTGTGGTGGTTGGGACATCGTTGACGCGCATGTTGGCCTGGTGGAACATGTATCTGTATAGCACGTCAGTGATAACCAACAAGGAGGTGAAGCTGCACTTACGGGTCCCAATGTAGGCCGAAGAGATTGCGCATTGCAGTGTCTCGAGAGTTGATCATGAGATCGTCAAATGTCCCTTTGCCTGCAGAAGTGTCGATCCACTCTTGTAGAGTACAAGCGGGAAGATCGCAATTGTAGTAAATGAGCGTTGCCCAGCGCGGCATGACGTTGAGTCCGGCGTACCCGTTGTTCTGAACGTTGGTCGTCAACGGCCAGAAACTGTTCTGCTGATTGCGAAGAGGCGGGCGGGTGTTGTCTCCTACGACATTGACGATGCCGTTATCCATCCAGCCTTTGATAGCATCTGCGTTGTGTAGGCCGGTGATTGCAGGCGGAATGATGCCCTTCCCGCTCCAGCGCTTAGCAGCATCAAGCCCAACCTGTTTGAGCCAAGCTTGGTTGAATGAGATCTCCTTTGAGGCATCTGAGTAGGTCGCGTTGGTCAAATCGGCGTGGGAACTGGTACTAAGTCAGTAGTGCAAAGCATCAAGGGGCATGGAACGTACAAGGTATGCGAGATGTGCGCAAAGGCGTCGCGTTGTTCTTCGTCGGCGAACCAATTTTGTAGCTCGTCGATCTCGGCACACTCAAGGCTCCAGGTATACTGAGAAGGCGTCGAAGGCCAGATGTTGGTGCCAGTACCAGGAGGCTTCTGGAATTCTGGGTCGCCATCCTTTTGATCCGCGTATTCGATTGCGTTCGTTGGGGTGCAGACTCTCTCGCCTTCACTCGTGTCCGTGGATGCTTCTATGTCACCGTTGCCGTTGTGCCCGATCTCTATGAAGAACTCGGATCCTGCAGGCATATTCGCGTTCAGGTTGGCTTGCCATGTGACATGCAACGAAAGGTCATCGGGTTTAGCGCGATAGTTTACGCCCGCCGGTCGGTACATGGGTGTCTCCAGAAACATGTCATCCACCTGCGTGCTGAAGTAGATCCTTCTGAAACCAACGAAAAGGCCTCTTGTCACCCATGTGATCCAAGCGTGTTGGAGGACGTTGCTTGACGGTGCCCAGTCTAGAGCGAATGGCAAAAACCAAACCATTTGTTGCCGAGTGCCTATTTGGTTGATGACTGCGGCGCTTCCACTGCTCGAGAACTTGGCAACCTCCCATGCCATTGATGCGTTCACAATCTTCGCAGGAGAGTGATATATGTTCGCGATGCTCACGTCTACTTTACTATTGGTATAGTCAGTATTGTACCACTTGAACTGGGTCGCGAGACTTACGACTTGAGATTAGCCGCGGAGAACCCCGTGGTATTCGTGAATGATACAGGCTCATCGTTCAAGTTTCCCCCGACGCTGGAGACTCCAAAGTCGGCTGTAGGGAAAACATCGAGACGGACCATGCGTACGCCAAAGTTCGTCTGGTAAGCATATAGATCGTTCCATTGCCGCCTAGTGAGTGCGCTGTAGTATTGGTCTCCGTAGTTGTATCCAACTTCGCTCACGGTGACAATACCACCGTAGTTGCCATGCGTTGCTGAAGAGTTGAGTAAAGGCAGGTTTGTGATCCCATCCTGGGGAACGGTGACGATCTCGTAAGGGATACCGTAACCTTGAAGGCCAAGTGTAGCGCTGTTGATGGCCGAAGTCGAATCGCGTGCAATGACCAAGATTGTGCTTGATACTGTGGCACTTCCCACATAGGCGGAAACATGTTGCAGGAAGAGACAGAAGCATGTGAGTGCGCATGCTCGCAGTAATGATGCAATGGAAGCCGCCATCGTGAGACGCGAAGTGAACAGCCTGCTACCGAAACTTTTTTTGAGGAACCTGGACGAGTTAATAAAGAAGTCTCGGCAGATATCATCTCATAGGCCACACGGAGGATATTGGTCCAGATGCAGTAAACGATCAAGAGACTATCGATTTTCTCCCTTCTTAGCCTCAGTAGTCAGAATTCACCTGGCATTCAACTTGATTCAGAACATGACGCGGCGGATAGCTCGATCAGATGCTTCGAATACTCATTGCCGTACCTCTGGAAGGCCTCGCATACGTAAGATGCCGTTAAAGCCATATGGTCTACCAGGGTCTTGGCAAATCAGTGTACTTGAGAAACCACAGCGTTATGAGCTTTGCCACTTAAGACGAATGTATTGCGAAGATCTCAGGGCATGGCTGAACTCGTGACTTTGGCCTACCAAGCCACTGGATAGTTCTGGAGCAGCCCCGAAGGCAAAACCCGATGCATGCTGGAAGAAGTGCGGCCAAAGTCCATGGTGCAAAATGCCTTTGGGGCCGCAAGGACGCGAGTGTGTGTAAGGATATTGTGAACGAAGCACCGGGTGTCGTCTAGCCTGGCTGCACGAAAGCACGCGTATCCCCGCAGCCTGCCCATATTGCGCGAGCAATTACCGTCCCAGACTTCATCTGCGGCAGGTGCATTGCATTGCATGCGCGTCGGATACAAGACCGACAAAGGTGCCGTGATAGATGAGGTTGGATATTAAAATCGTCGTGTGGAGGATGTTAGGCTAAAGGCGGTGCCGGATGAACGTGATTGAAAGAGAGATGATGCGCGTGCACGGACGTTTACTACCGAACCGCGACATTTCAGCCTCGTCACGTCCTCCCTCGTCCACCACTCTTGTCGCGTCATCACGACACCCTCCTACGCTGACATCGCCTCGTCGTTAAGATCTAAATCATCTTTGTTCTAGTCTCAATACAGTAACAGTCCGCTGTTCGGGGTAGATGGCACTAGCCCCCAGAAATCGCCAGCGTTCCCTGGCATCGCTCTCGCCAATGCCCGGTCAGAAGGCTTCGCGCTGCAAGTCCCTCAATGATGACTGCCGCTCCAATGCCATTCGCGGCAGCCAAGAGTCGTATTGCAGGATTCTCGAAGGATGGCCCTGCTCCGTCACTGCCGCTGGCCCTGCAGCGGTGGATTATTCACACCTATCGTGTATGCTAACGCGATTCGCAGATCAACAGCTAACACATGACTGCACAAACATAGGCCATGGTGAAAATATTAGTGTCTGTCAAACTGGCTTTCGGTAGCCGATGAGCTTGCCGATGAGCAAGTGACCATTCTTCCACCCTGTTCACACTGGCTATTGCAGTAGGGCATCATATCCACCTTGCTACTACGGTTCTGCTATGGATCTTTCTACCAGTTCTTCGTGCATTGCCTACTGACTGGCCTTTATCACCATATGGTAATTACTGTACTCTCTGGAAGTGGAGCAGCACCTGGAGATATCTGAGCTACACCCAACAGATCATAGGCAGGACCAATGCCTTCGCCGGATATCTTGGGCGTTCAGGCCTTCGAGACTGGACCATTACTACAGGAGTGGTGGGAATGGACGCTTGTTGCCATCATCAGTGCCAGTGGGCTTGTAGGAGTTGTTGCTTTCCTTTGGTACTCATACCGTTCCCTACGGACATTGTTGAAGGTACGTAGCATGCATGCTATACCTTCTCAGGGCTTATAAACCTCACAGGGTGACGACAATGATCACAGCTTACCACGATCGGTACAAGAACGAATACACCTGTTGTCGAACAGTTCGAGCGTCGTCCGCAAAACCCATACCCTCCCCACAAAGCCGTCGACGTTTGGCGTATATCTGGGCCTTCTGAGCAATCCAGTCACACACGATGAAGCGCAAACACTTTCACAATGGGACGTTGTAGTGTTGGATTACTGCGAGCCTGGGG